GTGTGTGTGTGTGTGTGTGTGTAATTGTATGGGTCTGAGTGTTTGAGAGAGTGTGTGAGAGCATGTGTTTGTGTGTGAGTGCGCGCATGTGTGTGTGTGTATGTGTGAGTATGTGTGTGAGAGAGTGAGATTGTGTGTGTGCATGAGTGTGTGTGTATGTGAGTATTTGTGAGAGCAATTGCGTGTGTGTTGTGTATGTTTGTGAGAGCGATAGTGTGTGTGTGTGTGAGAGTGTGTTTGAGTGTGAGAGTGTGTAGAAGCATGTGTTTGTGTGTTGTGTATGTATGTGTGTGTGTGTGTGTTTGAGAGAGTGTGAGAGAGCATGTGTGTGTTTGTGAGAGCGATATTGTTTGTGTTTGAGTGTGTGTTTGAGAGAGAGAGAGAAGAAAGAGAGAGAGAGAGAGTGTGTGTGTGTGCGTGTCTGAAAGTGTCTCAGTGTGTAAGAGAGTGTGTGCGTTCAGGGTCTCTGAGACGTCTCTTGAGGACACACTCCTGCCACTGACTCAGATCACACACCAGATCAAGAACAGCTACACACACCACTGGGACACTCAAACACAACTGCAAAGCAAAATGCAGTGTTATCTGGCCCTGAAGAGATGATATACTCTGGCAGACTATCTTCACACAGACTATCTTGACAGATGAAGGTCTGAGGAACACCCAGAGCAGATACAGACTTAACGGACACCAGATGGCTATAGAGACGGGCCGGCACAGACAAACATGGCTGCCGGTGGAGGAGTGGCTGTGCCCACACTGCCCTCAGCAGCTGATGGAGACGGAGCTGCACTTCCTCACTGAGTGCATTAAATACTCTGAGATCCGGGAGAAGTTCTACCCAAAACTCACACACACACACAAAAACTTTGAGTCCCTGCTGAACAGTGAGAATCTGCCCATCTTACTGGGGAAGTGTGTGTGTACTGCTGTGTGTTAGCAGCTGAGTTTGTGCACTCCTGCCACCGTCTGAGGAACCCACAATGATCCGCTCCACTGTCTCCAACACACAACACTGGAACTCTTTACTTGTGGACTTACTGTTGATAACAGTCATCACCTTTATCCTCTTTTATTACCATTAATCTATTTTTATTTGTTATTTTATTTTCTTCTTATCTGTTTTCTCTGTTTTTATGTTCATATCTGTTTGCACTACTGCCCTTTTGTCTTGTTTATATGCAGCGACGCTGTACTGCTTTGACAATACCAATGTACAGTTATTTGTCATGCCAATAAAACACCTTAAATGTGAAAAAATGAGTGTGTGTGTGTGTGTGAGAGAGAGAGAGAGAGAGAGAGCGAGAGAGAGAATGTGTGTGTGTGCACGTGTGTGTGTGCGTGTGTGTGTTCGTGTAGTAGTCGTACATTTGTGTGGTCCTGCTGTAATCCTCTTCTCTCCTCCATGATCCAGACTGTAAACACACACAGATTCACATTCAGTCAGTACACACACATCAGCTTATAACACACACACACACAGGTTGTCCTTCAGTCAGTACACACACACAAACACGCACGCACGCACGCACACACACACACACACACACTCACACACACACACACACACACACACAGGTTGTCCTTCAGTCAGTACACACACACGCTTACACACACACACTCACACACACACACACACACACACACAGGTTGTCCTTCAGTCAGTACACACACACACATTTCTGACCTGATACTGTACAGTTCTTCAGGAGAAATGTAGAGAACAAGTTTCACTGCTCAACTACAATGCTGAAACTGTACAGTGTTAATATGAGATATAATATCACGCTTAATGTGAGAACTGCCCCAGTGCACTGACATATTTAACAGCTTTGATTAATATCTGGAGACTAGAAGAGCAGTGAAGTATCAAAGTATCTTCTTATTTATATTCACAATAAAAAAGGCAGTGCTGCTCCACATACTTGAGTTTGTCCAGTGTGTAGTTTGGATCCTCCAGTTGTTCAGAGAGCAGCTTGACTCCTGAATCTCCTGGATGATTGTAGCTCAGATCCAGCTCTCTCAGGTGTGAGGGGTTTGAAGTCAGAGCTGAAGACAGAAAACCACAGCCTTCCTCTGTCACCATACAGCCAGACAATCTACAAACACAGCAATAGTCCACATCACACAGTTGGACAATCACACATCTTTTTGTGTTGTGAAGATGCTGACTGCTGTTTCTGCTCATGTCAACAGCAGTGATGAACACACACATCCTGATTAGCTCTCCTTATTAATCACATCAGCAAACACACACACTCACACACTCAACAAGGACTCAACATCATCTGTAGAAGTGTACAGAGAAATAGTTCATAAGACATCACATGAAGCTGTAAAGTCTGCTGTGAGGAATAAGACACATTTGACCTCAGAAGGAAATCTTGAAGTATAAAGAGTAATTAAAAATAACCTGATTTCCATTATTTATATTTAGATCATCTTTAGATCATATTTAGATTATATTGTGGACAATATTGTAAATAAACTAAACACACACAAACTCAATCTCTTGGTGTCTTTGTCTCTTGTCTGACAGTCACTAGAGATGTAGTCAATCCATTTTTGAGTCCAAATGTTAACAAGGCCAAGAAACTTCTTCAGTTTAGATAATAAGACTGTGATGAGACTTTTATATGTTTTCAGGAAAACTGCAAACAGCACAAACATCAGAGCAGGTCAAAACCTCACTAGGGCCCAAAACCCTACAGACCCCACAGGGTTCACTTTGTCTTCATCACTGTTATTTATTTACTTAGACAGGATTGCCAGAACATCTGACAAATTCTTAAATATATTTTTGCAATAAACAAATGCAAATATAAACAAAAATAGGTCACACTTTACAATAAGGTTCATTAGTTAATGTTACTTAATGCATTTACTAACATGAACAAATAATGAACAACACATTTACTACTGCATTTGTTCATGTTAGTTAACGTTAGCTATTGAAAATACAGTTGTTTATTGTGAGTGCATGTTAACTCATGGTGCATTAACTAATGTTAACAAGCATGAGTTTGGATGCTAAAAATGCAATTGTAAATGTTCAATTATGATTAATAAATGCTGTACAAGTGTTGTTCATGATTAGTTCATATTAGTAAATGCATTAACTAATGAACCTTATTGTAAAGTGTTACCCAAAATATATAAACATATAAAATATGGGAACATAATTTATAGGCAATTCATCTAAATAACCTTTAAATACAGTCATATTTCTGTCTATTAGAAAAAGTATTTTACACATTTTTTATTTTATTTTACTCAGTAATGCTTTTAAATGTATTTTTATGCATACATTTGTATAGGTATGAATAAAATCACACCCATATAAATCTAGTGTAAAGTGTATAATCTAGTATAATCTAAAGTGTAATCTGCCAACACACTGAGGGGGGAAAGGGGCTTCTATATTTGTTAAACCAGTATGTAACTCTCTGTTTGGAGTTGCTGTTGAGTGGAAGAGTATTTACCTCAGTGTCTCCAGTTTACATTGTTGACTCTTCAGTCCATCAGAGAGCTTCTTCACTCCTGAATCCTGCAGGTCATTGTTACTCAGGTCCAGCTCTCTCAGCACACAGTTTGAGGATTGTAGAACTGAAGAAATACTCTCACAGCACTGAACAGTGAGATTACAGCACTGTAGCCTGTGTAGAGGACAAACACAATATTGATGTGGTCATCTGGGACCTCACTGATTAACAATGCTTGCTCATGAAAAGGACACCAGCTTCCACCCTTATGGTTGTATGTACTAACAGTAGAGTAGCACAATGTACCGATATTATAAAAGCATAGCGATACCCTAGCTCTCAAAACAATACGATTATGAATTTTTTTAGTACCTGTACTTTTATTTGACAGCTGTAGTTGTGAGTGCTCGTCAATAGGGGGCTGTGTGGGGGCCGTGCGCTGCTTCTACAGCAGGGGTCTCAAACTCACGGTCCTTCACGGGATGATAGTTTGTGGCCCTCGCCTTAATTTGAAAGTTTAATGTTAGTGCGGTGAGTTTGATATGTACGGCACTTTACAGTTTTGTTTGTGGAGCTGAACAAGCCCACTAATCACAGTGGGGTATATGGCTCTTGGGGGAGGGACATCAGCTGAGCTTGACGCAGGGAGAGAAACATTTTCCAATGAGTGAAAGTTACAGCAACGTTGCCATGGAGTGTTTTCCTCTGTGATTGCTGGCTGCCTTGTTTCTATTGGGCACATGAGGACATTCGTCCCAGCACATTTTCATTCACAACACTTCAAAAAAAGTTGTGTAAGTTGCCGGCCAGCGGGACATTATAAATATAGAAATTGATATAAATTAGAGCTTAATTTGAGCAGGATCTTGCAGGATCCTGTACCGGGAAATGACAGATATTTGTATTTGGGCTGCAACAACGAATCAATTAAATTAATAAAAATTGATTACTCAAAGGGTTGGCAGTGAATTTCAAAATTGAATTTCATTATCGATTTGTTGTGTCGCACAACACAAGGACGTTTGATTAATGAAAAACACGCGGCGTGAACTAGGTCTCTCTCACTTACTGATACAGATTTCGGCGCCTCATACAGGGATAAGGAGGGAGTTCAACAGCAGGTGTGTTGACTGGTGCTGAGCCAGAGAAAAACGTGTCATATCATCACAATTATGCAGCGTTTTAACCGCCTAATGATTTTTTTTTTGTTTTAGATAAACATTTACATGTAAATACACACAAGCACTAGTAAAACAAGACATTTAGAGTCTGTGAAACACACAAGAAAGTCTATGAAAGTCTAATAATCCACTCAAATATCATTTGCTGATGTGTTTTATTCATATCAGATACACATGGTAAAAGTAACTATAAAGTTGAATCTGTTCTTCTCTAAGTTCACCAGACACTCACTTGCATGTATTTGTGGAGTAACTGGTGAATTTATGTGCTGAATCCTGCGTGTTCTGCTTTTATGAATGAATCAAACGCGAGGCTGCAAGTAAACATGGCACTTACAGAGCTCTTTTGGAGGTTTTGATGACTGCTGATAGTCTGATGAGACACTCGTCTGATCTCTGAAATTTCTGAAGCTCAAACTCCTCCAGCTCCTCCTCTGAGGTCAACAACACAAAGACCAGAGCAGACCACTGGGCAGGTGAAAGGCGAGCAGATGACAGACTTCCTCTACTGAGGTGAGACTGAATCTGTTTCAGCAGAGTTTGATCATTAAGTTCATTCAGACAGTAGAACAGATTGATGGATCTCTCTGGAGACAGATTCCCTTCAAGTTTCTGCTTGATGTAGGCAATTATTTCTTCTTTGCTCTGGTCTCTGTCATCCTGCTGTGTCAACAGGCCTCGTAAGAGTTGTCGATTAGACTGGAGTGACAGACTGAGAAGAAAGCGAAGGTAAAGGTCCAGATGTCCATTCTCACTTTCCAGAGCCTTGTCTACTGCTGTCTTCAGCAAGTTAATCATGACTTTATTTCTGCTTTTTTCTGCTTGTTTCTTGTTGTTGTCTAGTATCAGATGTTGATAAAGGGCTGCAATGAACTCCTGAATGCTCAGGTGAAGAAAGCAGTACATGGTACCAAGAATGATTCCCGTCTCCTCCTTAAAGATCTGGGTACACATGCCTGAGTACACTGATGCCTTATAGACGTCAATGCCACAGTCTTTCAGATCGCTCTCATAGAAGATCACATTGTTTCTTTCCAGCTGCTGGAAGGCCAGTTTCCCCAGTGAAAGGATGAGGTTTGGATCCCAGGAGACATCTGCTGTGTTTTCTCCATCATACTTTCTTCTGCTCTGCTGGATCTGAAAGCGGAGAAAGTGTGTGTACATCTGTGTTAGAGTCTTGGGAGATTCCTGCAGTGTTTCAGCATGAGCCCTGTGTTTCAGTTTCAGTATGTTCTGGAGAACAGTGGCTGAAATCCAGCAGAGGACTGGGATGTGGCACATAATAAAGAGACTCTTTGACTGTTTAATGTGATCAATGATTTCTCTGGCCTGATTCTGATCTGTGAGTCTCTTTCTGAAGTACTCCTCCTTTTGGGTATCATTGAATCCTCGTATCTCTGTCAGCCGGTCGATACAGTCAGCAGGAATCTTACTGGCAGCTGCTGGTCTGCTGGTGATCCAGATGAGAGCAGAAGGAAGCAGATTTCCCTTGATGAGGTTCGTCAGGAGAACATCCAGAGAGACTACTGAAGATACATCACGACACGTCTCATTACCAGCAAAGTTCAGAGGAAGACGACATTCATCCAATCCATCAAGGATGAACAGGACTTTGAATCGTGTGCTTCTTGTAAGGTTCAGTCCTTTAGTCTCTGGGAAAAACTGAGTTATGAGGTCTTTTAAACTTTGTCTTTCTTTCTCCTTTAAGTTCATCTCTCTGAATGGAAGAGGAAATATGAAGCTGATGTCTTGATTTTCTTTCCCTTCAGCCCAATCCAGAACAAACTTTTGCACAGAGACTGATTTCCCGATGCCGGCAACTCCTTTTGTCAGGACAGTTCTGATCTGCTCGTCTTGTTCAGCTGCTTCAAACAAATGTTTGCATTCAACCTGTATCTCTAGTGACTGATGACGTCTGGACGCAGCTTCAATCTGTCTGATCTCATGTTCAGTGTTGACCTGTTCACTCGCACCCTGAGTGATATAGAGATCTGTGTAGATGTTATTCAGAAGTGTGGAGTCTCCTTGCTGAGCAATTCCTTCAAACACACTTTGATATTTCTTCTTCAGGCTACATTTAAGCTGATTAATGTAGAGCAGCTCACCTAAACACAGGAGCAAAGAAACAGAGAGTTTTAGTCTTGACTTTTCCAGCTATATTTGTAATTGTCAGTCTGACTGACGGCCATGAGTCTCTTACCCTGGAGAGTATCAGCAGCTTGATCTTGCTTCATCTCTCTCAGGAAGAAGAGTGTGAGATCAAGAGCTGCTTCTGTGATTCCGCTACTGTTCTCATTAAACTCCTTTACAAACTCCTGTCTGTTTTCATTTTGTAAGATTTTCCTGAAGTTTTTCAGTTCTTTCTTAACAAACTTGATAATTTTACTCTCAAGATTCTATATTTAAAAAAAAAAAAAAGAGAAGACCACTATATCAGAAAGACATCTAATGACACACAGTTGTAAATCCAAAAAAGTTATTTAATAATTGAAAATATATTATAACACAGGTCTTTAAGTGCTCAATTCTGATTGGCTGAAAAACATTTTACAGTGTTCTGTTATCTTCAGATAAACACATAGTTAAATTGTTCAGGCAGGCTTTTTGCACATTACATTTCTATATCACTATGCTGAATGATTTCAGTTATGTCACAGCGACAACAATTGAAACACAGTAAAACATAACAGAAGACTTTGGATGAGCTATGTAAGAAACTAGTCCTACACAGAGGAGCAGTTTGAGAACAAAAACTTGACAAATGTCTGAATTACAACATCTGAACTGTGGCTTAAGCTGTGGAAACCATAGTATCCAATCAAGCATATGTTTGGTGTTTCATTGAAGTCTACAAGACATCAAATTAAAAATTGTTTGACTAAAATAAGGTTAAATTTGGAAATAATGACTACACATGTTAAGTCTGTCTAATCGGTGTATTTGTTGACTTGAGCTATTCTTAGGTGTCTATTAAATTTTTCAGTGACAACCTAAATTTGGCCTTGTTTTATCTAAGCCATCTTTTTTTCAAGTGTCTTTTAAACATAAAATCATTTTGTGCCATGTGTGGAATAGCGGTCTCAGATGCTTTGAATTATTAGGAAATAATGCACACTAGAGGTATAATGACATCATCATGAGTATCTGTCACGCTGGTAGACAAGGAAGACAGAGATGGTTCTCTTTTCGCAGTATTTATTCAAAACAAAGTCGCTGATCACAGTGAGAACTTAAAGGTTCATATTAAAGGTGCAGTAGGTGATCTGCCAAAATGCTAACCGCTTAGCATATTATCTTTGGACGGCGGGGAGGGACTGTGATTCAAAGCCACACCCTCTGAAATCGTGAGCGCGCGCACCTCGTCACAGCGGCCGACAGACAACCCACTAGTTCATATCATTTGCCAGTTAGTTAGTGCCAGCGCCGTGCATGAATTACATGTATTACTTTGCCACACTTACATGCTATTTCAGAGCGAATATTCAGAGTAGCATGATAAACAGTATAGGAAGGCTATCATTGTTCAAAAATTACCCAATGTGAATATAAAAGCAACTTCAGCTCAATAGAGCAGTTAGGCGGAATAGCGCTATTTACTGGTGTTTTGTTGTTAAACTAAATATAAATCTACATTATAGATGCTGTCAAAAAACCTTATGAAACTGAAAATAATCACGTCAATCTTTCACCAGGAGATTTAAGTGGCTGAACAACACGTCTGTGCATATAAGTCATTCATAACAACACAATCTGACATAAAATAGTTTCAAAACAGAACATGACCTGTCTAACAGTGATACTTCAGTCATGGTGTCATCCTTCCTCCAGCGTGCTAAAGTAACTCCAGTATTGATTCAGGTTTTTAAAAGTTTCAATTCAGCTTTTGATTTCTCCTGGTCCGTCTCGTGACCGCGCAGCCGCTTTAAGGGCGAGTTACACCTGCGCCTGGCTTTACAGTAATCTGCCCGAGCTCGGCTGTCCTTCGGCGCCTCCGGCTCCGACTCGGCATCTGCGAGCGGCCCGCAGCTCGCTCGGAGTGCATGCGTTTGTGATGCAGACGGGCACGCGCTAATGGCGGATCTTCGTGAACAGGTGCGCAGAAGTCGGAATCTCCATTTGCTGACAGACAGTCTGACCTGCCTATCGGATAAACATTTTTTAGTTTTATGCTTTACCTAGAATATAAAGATACATATAAACACATTTAGATCATTTACTGTAATCATTACTATTGGACTGTGAAGAGACTTTCAACCAGCAAAACAACAAATGTTTTCTGAAGTCACCTACTGCACCTTTAAGGCTGTAGCAATCTTCTGTAAAAATGAAAGTGTCAATAGCAGAAATAAATGATCTCACTGATAGTTCGCTTGTAGGAGACTCAGCAGGTGAGTATACAGGTACACAGTTCATCTAGTACAGGGGTGTGTCAAACTCAATTCCTGAAGGGCCGAAGCCATGCACAGTTTAGTTCCAACCCTGCTCCAACACACTTACCTGTAGGTTTCAAACAAGCCTGAAGGACTGAATTAGTTTGATCAGGTGTGTTTAATTAGGGTTGGAACTAAACTGTGCAGAGCTGCGGCCCTTTTGGAACTGAGTTTAACACCTGTGATCTAGTAGATAGCTGATCTTCTGGTTAACTCTACACAACTGTAAGCATCCCTCTAGATCGATGAGAATGATCAGAAAGCATGTAATGATCATCCATTGATGAGTATACAAGCACACAGTTCATCATAGTAATAGCAGATCCTCTAATGAACATCAGATAAGAATAATAACTTCCCTTGATCAGTATAAAGGACTCGAAGACTCATAAGGAACATCCATGGAAAAAAGGGAAAAGCCGAAGGAGTGAAGATGAGGGCAACTATCTGACTTTAATACGAGCTGACGACTGAGAGAAGGTCAGTTTATACAGTGTCCTTTGGTGATGGGAAATGGGTGCAGGTCATTAGAAGGCTGGTGAGAATTCACGGGATTGGATGGAGGTGGTTTGTAAAGAAGATAGATGATTGGGTGAGCAGGAATGTGCCGGGGATGTCACAGTATCATAGGTGTGTATTATTTTCTAATAACTCAATGAACTAAAGTCAATTATTCTTTACTAAACAAATACATTGTAATTCTTCAAAAAAAGAAATACATGAAAAATAACATTTACAAATGACATGTTTTACAGAAGCAAGATCTTTTTAATAAACATATTGTCTGTTCTAATATGAAATTGAATAAATTTTTCCCACCTCGAAGATCTTCTGGAGATGGCCCCTGAAACTCTTTTGGCTTCTGTGAGTCTTGTTTCTTGAATCTGGTAACTCATATTGAAAACTGTTAACAAATAAAACCACTGAGACAAACAAATACAGGCATATCTCAAAGACATTAAAATACTAAATGTTCTGTAGACCTCATGATAAGGAGACAGTCAAGACAGTGAACTTGTGCAATTGGTCCATTGATGTGTCACAAATTAAATTGAGTTGATAAATTACAGACATAACCAGGACGTTCCCCATCAGGTCGGGAACATTGACTTGTGTCTAGAAGAGATGCTTTTGGGAGAGTGTGTGGAAAACACCACAGCAGCTGAGACTGTTGTGCATTTGGTGTAAGGTGTGAAGTTTGCCAAGCACAGCATGAGCACACAATATCACCAAAAGTGCAACCTTCTAAATGTATCCCTAGACCTAGAATTACCAGAGTATGGGAATAGTTTAAAATTTAGGGTGTCAAATGTTAACTTTTTACCTAGGAAAATATGAGGAAGGGTGGTACGAAGGTGACTTGCTACCCAAAGGGGAGACCTGGTGACAATAAGTATAAGTATATGCGCTTCATATGATATGTTGGTTAGCGGGTAGAGAAGACACAAATCTCCCTGAAAAGGGGAAATGCTCGGTGACTTAGGGACGGATATGGGATTGTTGCCCCAGAGGTTGCCCTATCTCTAAGAAAAGAAGTGATTCCTCGGGAATTAGTCAAGGAGGGGTCATCGCGAGGAGTGCGAGTTCAGAAACAACAAGGTCAGGTTGAACCTTGGAGGCGCAACAAGCAAGACCTTCTGCTCTTTCTCCCTGACCTTTCACAGGGTCTGTGTGAGCAGGATCACTGAGGGAAAAATGCATACTGCTTAAGCCTCGGAGTCAGCTGAGAGCATCTGTACAGAGCAGGGAAAAAAGCGACTGCTGATGAGCAGACTTGCGAGAAGTAAGCAGGATGACCTGGGCTTCCCTGAAGTGCACTCGTATTACCTGGACCATGCTGGGGTGGAGTTTCTATTCTCCCAGGAGTGTGAGCTGCTGGGAGAACACGTCAACTTGCATGGTTGAGCTTGCGTCTTGTGCGTCATGACTCCAGGCTAATTTCTAATATTATCTTATATCTGGGACAACTATAGTATCTTAATAAGCACATTTTTGTGTTTAATAGAAGACTAATAGACATCCCATCAAAGATGGCTTGGCTAAAATAAGGCTAAATTTGGAATTAACAACTACACATGTCAAGTCTGTCTAATCTGTGTATTTGTCTAGTGTTGGGTTATTCTTAGATGTCTATTAGATTTTTTAGTGACAGACTAAATGTTTCCTTGTTTAAGTCCAGACATCACTTGTTTGTTGTGGACACTTGTTTAAGGGCACCCAGGCCCGTAGAAGGCCAGATCCATCCAGGGACTGAAGGTGCGGCATCACAGCGAGGTGATGGTCACCCTGTGCATCCCTGCACACCATGCCCATCTGGGATCTTGACTGTGAAGCCAGTGGTGAAGTGGTCAAATTGGAACAATCTGAGCAGCGAGATAGTGGCTGCAACCTAATATGGCTGAGGAACCTCTGGAAAAACTTCAGTAAGACCATTGTAATCCTGTCAAACTGTATCAGACAGGGCAGCACCGTCTTCATTCTGCACACGCAAGACGGGTGGCTGCGGCTTTAACTGTCGTGAAAAACACGCCAGTAAACTCTGGAAACAGGTGACCTCAGGAAGATGACCTGTTTCATTGTGCTCAGCTTTTCTTTTACCACTGAGGACTGCTTGGTAGACAGTGTCACCAAATAGGCCTGTGATATATAGGCATGTGAAGAAAACAAGCTCAGGCAGTGTGACACATGTCTCCCAGGGTAAGCCAAGGGTGGTGATCTTGAACCACTGTGTGGCCATCATCTTCTCCATGGCTCAGACGGCCGATTTTGAGGTCATGAGAGTATAGTCGGCCACCTGTGGTGCTGTGGTACCATGGTGCAGGGCCGAAGAGGCAATGCCCACAGCAGTGTGAGCTCTGGCTGTGAGAGACTCAGAAAACCCACCCAAGGATCTCAGCTTACCCCTCCAGGTGGCGGTGCCTACCATCTAGGCAAAAGCTTTGTACCGCCATCGAGTGAGGTTACGGTAGAAGCGTGTGAGGTAAAAACATTCTCCATACCTGTTTGAGCTCCCTGTATGCTCCCTGGAAGATGGGAACAGGGGTCTGAAATGATTTATCTCACATCAGCTCCCCCTCTAGTCGGTCCGACAGTGGGACTAGGGGGACAAGCCATCTTCAGCCCTACCGCCAAAGCAGCCTGGGAAAGCACAGCCATCATGCCTGATTCTAGATCCATAACCGTGCATTGCACCCCAGATGGTGGGTGACCGAGCTTGGTCTGTCATCTGAACATGACAACTCACCCTCTGATGCTGTGATGGGCATCTGATCTCCCGTGTCAATGAGTGAAAGCACGGACATCCCAGGGGACAAACCAGCACAATTGTGATAGGGCACGTTGTGGAGGAGCCAGGGCTCCAAGTGCCCAGAGGCAATGTATAGGCCACCACTGTAATCCTCAGATCTACCTGATTGCACACCACTTTCGTGACTATTGAAGTATTCTTTTGTTTTATTCCTAAAATGTTTTCTAAAAGATCTGAAATCAATTCTGTATTCAGATTAGACAGCAACATGCGGGTCTGCGTGAGCTCAAACATAAAAACAGCTAATAGGCACACAGATGCATCCTGCAGAATTAGCTTTATTTGGACAGATGAATAACATCTGTGATTATTCATTCATATTGAAGCCAGCCACAAAACGAAACAAAAGCACCAGATAATAAGAGTCTGTAATTATCTGGTGCTTCTGTTTTGTTCTTTTTTGTGGCTGATTTCAATATGCTGTTAAACTTTCTTCCACACCCAAAAGTGAAACCTAGAGTTGTTATAGATTCAATTTATTAAACATAAGCACAGAAAAGTAGGTTTCCTGTTTGAAATTCAAAGTTTCAAAGACATACATGTACAGCAGAAAATCTAGGAAAACTAAATTAAGAATCATTATGGATTTAAAATCAAATCAGGTCATGAGGTTCCTAAAGGTTCCAACCACTAATGACCAAAATGTAAAACACAAAATACCTTTCAGCAGATGATGGTGTTTTCTCTCTGAGGTTTGATGGAGGATGTTTTGACTTCCCTAAATGAAAAAACCTAGAATGACAAAATTAATTTTATTTGGTGTCACTGTCAGCACCAGACACACTAGAGGCACTCTACACCTCATTAGCCACTTTTTAAACTCAGTTCCTGGAGGGTCACAACTCTGCACAACTTAAATCCAACCCAAATTACACACCTAATCAAACTAATTGAGTCCTTCAGGCTTGTTTGAGACCTACAGGTAAGTGTGTTGAAGTAGAGTTGTACCGCATGTCTTTAGACTGTGGTGGAAACCTGAGCATCCTGAAGAAAACCACACAAATGCAGGGAGAACATGCAAACTCCACACAGAAATGCCACCTGACCCAACCAAGGCTCGAACCAGCGACCTTCCTGCTGTGAGGCGACAGCACTACTTACTGCGCCATGGGGACAACAAGAGACTATTACCTATTATTTCTTTTTATTTTATAAATGTCTAATTAAACATCTACAAACTCATTAAACTGACCTGAGATCAGGTAAAACTATAAAACCTGTTCAGTGATTCACCTCTGGAGGGCAAACTGAATGGATTTGTGTGATTCGTGTGGAAATTACGCAGATCAAGTTTTCGCCCCCTTGTGGAGAAATATTGAATTTCCAAAATGTTTCGAAGCATTAAAGTCATAAAAAGCCTCGTTTACTGAAACCACATGACTCTACCCATTTGATATGTGCTCTGATTCACGGATTTAAAACTAAAAACTGCAAAGGTATTGAAGCTTCATGAAGCAGTGCTCCAAAATGAGCCATTAGCTCTGTTTACTGGAGTACTCTTGGTGATTAGCGGTGTGTTACTCGTTCATGTACACTCAGAGCGTGTTTCGCTGGTTTGTGTTTTAATCTTGTGTTTATTGTTAGCTGTCTGGATATTGGATTACTCTTTGTGGATTACCCTTGATTATGATTGATTGCTCCTGTTTTGTCCCCTTGCCTGTCTAAAAGATACTCTGATTAAGAAACTAAAACCATCACTAGGTGTCTGTAAATGTCTAAATTCACCAAAAGTCATTGAGTCATTTGATTAATCCAAACAACTGATGCATTTACTAATGACGCTATTTTCTGGATTGTTGGTTCACAATAACATGTTCAATACAGTCCAAGTGTGATCAATAATGTAAAACACTAAATACCTTTTGACTGATGATGGTGTTTTCCCTCTGAAGTTTGGAGTACGACCACCTTTTGAGTTGTCACTCTTCAGAGACACAGAGCTGGACACACATGATCCTGATCTCACACTGAACACACAAACACACCAGAGGAATAAACTGCAGGACAAACTTCAGTCTCCTTTACAAGAGTTTATCAGACAAATATGAGTTTGTTCAGTTTAATTCAGCACAAACTAATAGTTGACTGAAGGTCTGTCTGTTGTCATGTTGAAATAATGGTGTAAAAACAGAGTCAATACCTTTGTTTCTCTGAGAGAGAGTCCTTTACTTGCTCCTCTGCCATACTGCAGCTAAAACACCAATGCAGACATTAGCAGAGCTTTGAGGAAACAATCATACATACATATATATATATATATATATATATATATATATATATATATATATATATATATATATATATATATATATATATATATATATAGTCCTTAACATGAATGCAGTTGGTTTAACCCTGATCTGACATCTCAGCTGTTTCACATTTGATTTAAGGTAAATGCATGTTATATAGAGTTTATCAAGAGAAGTTCAGGTTCAGCCAATTGTTGATTTAGTGAGTATTAAAATGTCTCTCTACTAAAATGGCTATTTGGTTAATGAGTTACTCTGACAGTAAAGGGTTAAATGCAGTGTTGTTTAAGGATCGTCAGCTTGTTGTTTTTCAGCAGCTTTTCTTCCTGTTCAACTGGAAGGTCTGCTTTAACTTTACTTTTGATTTGGTGACTCTGAATGTTTAGAGTTATATTTAATGCTGAATTATTGGACACTATTGAGTCAGTCTGATATAGAAGAGCACAAACACTTTAAAGGGATTAAAAATAAAGCTTTTAGAGACACAGTGTTTAAATGAGCGTGTTTGACTCAGTGTTTAATCTGTGTTTAAGGATTTGATCTTCAGGATCAGACATTTAAATCACACTCACACATATAAACCCTTCATCATCTCCACAAATCAGCGTAATGTAGAAGTGTTAAACTCACATGCAGAAGTACAGACACTCTTGTGCAGCAGGAACACAATCTGAGCTCTTTCACTCTTTCACTTTACTAAAACACACCTGTGTGATCTACAGGTGTATCCTGAAATATTATTGGCTCCACAGAGTGACACTGACATTAATATTCATGAGACTCTCCTGACTGTGGGCGTGTCCTGAAGACGAGTGTGTTGATGGAAGATTTAGAGAAGGTATTAAAGATGAAATCTGAGAGGTCTCTGAAGAATATTTACAGCAATGTTCAACCTTTAAAATAAGATTAGAGATTTATATATAAATGAATAATGTTTAAACAGAGGACAAATCAAGAAAACCATTAAACAGCATTACATTCAGTTCAAATGTTGTAGTTTGTCTTTTATTTATTGTTTGCAACACATAATTTGAATGTACATGTGTTATCTCTCTATTTCTGTTTCCAAACTTATTTTAATCAATATATCTGTTTATCGATACTCTCTATTACAGTACAAATGTTTAATACTATTTTTTATGGTCATTTTTCAAAATTCAGGATAAAAAGTCAATAAAAATATGAATAATTTTCCTCAGAAGCTGGAAGACGGGGTTGTGACAAATGATTTATTATTATCAGTAAAAAATCTTACTTAGCGGCTTTTATTCATTTATTTGTTCTTTTTATTATTTGTTTAATGAGAAATAACATAAGTAAATGCAAAGTTATACAAAAATCATTATAAAAGGGAATGTTAAATTAAATACAGATAACTTAATCATCTGAACAGATCTTTACAGTAACTCTGTGTTGAAATCAGAGAATGATTAAAACCTTTAGATGGGTGGAAAAGAGTTGACAGATTCAGGATCAGTTAGCACATTGTGTTTAGTGAATGTGGTGTTTTCCAAGTAGTGTAAGAGTTTTAGTTCACAATCCATAAACAAGATTATCTTAATCAGTTATAATGATCAATTTACAGAACACTGAAATATAATAATGAGATCACGAGAAACCAGAATAGTTTAGTGTCATCACAACTGAAACAGTCATTTAATAATAGTGTCTGACTCATTTTACAAATCTAACATATAAATCATTACATGGCTAATATATATATCTGTAATATTTTAACATGGCTTTCCTTTACTTTATTAAGAGGTGGTTTCCTGGACCAAGATTAAGCGTAGTCCTAGACTGAAATGGGCATTTAGATCAGACTAACAGAAATGTGCTTTCTCTGTCACGGTTTTAAAAAGTCTAAGACTTAGTCTAGTCCAGAACTGAACAGGCTGATTTCCTGGAGGAACACTAGAGCAACTTCAGGACTAAACTGAGGCTTAAATTAAATCTATCAGGAGGCAGGTTTAACTTCACATTCATTTCATTTGGAGGACACATGGATTACCTGGACTATGTCAATGATGATCAGCGCTTTCCACCAGTCAGGCAAGTTCTTGCAGACAGAAGTGACCCAGTGCAAGGTTTTGATGAATTAAGTGTTCGAGATGCATAAAGTAAACTATTTGTGATTTAAAAGCACATCACGTAAACCACCCTGATGCTGGAACCCAGGCTAACTACAAGGTACTGTTCAATGATTATGGAAATGCCCCAGGAGTCATCGGTTGCATAGAGGGAACCCATATTCCCATTAAGCGTCCCTCTACTCCAGATGCAGAGGAAAACAGGAACCAAAGAACTGGGTTTCCATCAATGTCCAAGGTGTATGAACTTCCCAGTTAGAGTTCTCAAACATTGCTACATGATGGAAAGGTGCAACTCATGATCCTCCTCAGCTCATCTCTGTATACTCAGTTTGACAGAAGAGATCATAATGGAGTTTTGCTTGGTGACAGTGGGCATGCTCAGAAGGATTTCAGCTACAGCCAGGCTCATATGCGCACAAGGGCTTTAGTCGAGCGCATGTTCGGTGTTTGGAAGAGTCGTGTTCAGTGCCTTAGGAAAACACTCAGATTGAAAGCAAGTAGATGCTGCACTGCTGCAGAGACTGTGGCATCTTCTGCTGATGCTCCAGTCTCTGAGGTGGCAGTAGAGTCTGAATCAAATACATTGACTCTGGCTGAAATTGTTGCAGGGTCTTCTGTTGTACCTGCTTCAGTTAACTCTGAGATAGATGGCATGAATGGTCACAGTGTTACACCAGCATTGACAGAAAATATAGCAGTCACTGGAAAAAGCAACGAGGCTGGAAATGAAGCGGAAATGCAAACTGAGGCATTTTTCAAAGCTGCAATAAAAAGGAGAAAAGGCAGAGGTAAGACGACAATAACACAGGCCAAAGAAGACAAGAGCGAGACTGAAAGTGCAGTTTCAGACATTGACAGCGATTCTTCAGACTCCAATGATTCAGGCTGCTCTTTTCTTCATCACTAAATGAGGATGAAGAGCAGCCATGGTGTACAACACTGAACAACTAACTCAGCTTTCAAGAGAAACAAAGAGACTGAAGCTGAAGACTATTGTCCAGATCCATCTGCTCTTATAAGAGATGTAAAGAGGTGCATGAAGGAAGAAGCTTTCTGTGATCAGGACGTGCACCGTCTTAGAAAATCCATGAGAAAAATGAGAAAACAAATGCGTGAAGATGAAGAACAGGACATGGTGTGATAGCTTCTTCTGTTTTTGACTGTTTCTATCATTTATGAGAGACATTAAGATTGGAGCTCTACACTTGAATGCTGCTAGAAACAGTCAGAAGAGAATGTGTCTGTCTGAGTTTATAAAGATGAAACGTATTGATGTGACCTTCATTCAAGAGTCTCAGAGTGCTTTATTTAATGAAATAGACTGGAGAACAGAATGAGATGCTCAAGTGTTCATGAGTCACATGTCCTCTAATAGTGGAGGAGGAGCTCTATTGCTTTCACAGCAGTTCTCACCAATTCTATGTGGAGAGAAAGAAATAGTCAAAGGACGTTTATTACAAACTAAAGCAAAACTTGAGAATATTTTAATGACTTTATAAATATTTACGCTCCAACAAAAGCAGATGAAAGAATAGATTTCTCCAATGCTTTTAGTGCTGTCCTTAAAGATATCAAATCAGAAGAGTTTTCATTTTAACAGCACAGAGAATGAGAAGAGAGATCCAAATCACTCAGAAACACATCCTGCTTCACTGAAAGTGCTTCCACAATGAGTAAGAGTGTTTGATTTATGCGATGTGTGGAGGAATGATCATCATGAAAATAGACAGCACACTTGGGCACATAGTAAGAATCATTTTATTTCAATGGCAAGGCTTGACAGATTTTACATGTTTCATTTTCAAGAAGATTGTGTCAAAGATTGTAAAATAATTCCTGTTGGGTTTTCAGATCACTCTTCTGTTATTTGTACTATAATTGTTAATTCTGTGGAGATTAGGAGTGCCTATTGGCATTTTCATACGTCCCTTTTAAAAGATTAGACATTTCTGGAAATTTTTTGTTTTGTTGGAGGAATTTTAAAGAAGAAAAACATCTTTATTCTTCACTGCAGCAATGGTGGGATTGTGGCAAGAATCATATTAAACAATTATGCCAAGAATACACTTTTAATGTCACTAAAGGAGTTCCTGAATCCATGAAGAAACTAGAGGATGAACTAACAGACCTGTTTAACACAACAGCAGCGACAAGCAGAGATCAATCTTAAACCCGGAAATCAAACACAGATTTGCTGGCTGATCTTTGAGGAGTGAAAGCACAAGGAGCATTCATTCATTCAGGTTTAATAAACATTACACAAATGGAGGCTCCTTCTAAGCTTTATTAGTCTCGAACAGAAAAATGGCCAAAGTGGAATTATTCATTCGCTAAACAATAATGCAGGAGAGGAACTTTATAATCCAGTGACATACGTAAACATGCTGTTTCCTTTTATTCACAATTATACAGATCATATAGAAGTTAAAGATCTCCCAAACACTGATGAAGACTCTAATGCCATGCTTGAGCTCTCATTGTCACAGAGTGAATTATACACAGCGGTAATGAGTATGGGAAGTGGAAAGACTCCAGCTATTGATGAATCCCAGTAGATTTCTGTAAATCTTTGTGGTCTGTGATTGGTGATGATGATCTTTTGGTTCTTGATGACAGTTTGAATAAAGGTTTACTCCCATTAAGCTGCAGAAGAGCTGTAATTACTGTGTTCCCAATAAAGGAGACTTGCAAAGAAGAAGCAACTGGAGACCAGCATCACTTTACTGCACCCATTATAAAATACTGTCAAAGGCATCAGCTACACGATTGAGTAAGGTAATAGGTCAAGTAATACACCAAGATCAACAGTATTGTATAGCGAATAGATCAGTTTTTGACAATATTTATTTGGTTAGAGATGTTTTAGAAGTAATTGGGTATTAATTGTGGACTGATCTCTTTAGAGCAAGAGAAAGCGTTTGACCGTATACAACATGAATATTTAATAACGCTTTTAGAAATGTTTGGTTTGAGCCCAGCTTCTGTAAATATGATCAATGTTTTGTACAGAGACATTCAAAGTGTATTAAAAGTCAACGGTGGTCTGAGTGCTGCTTTTACAGTACAGAGAGGAGTTAGACAGGGATGTGCTGTGTCGGGGATGTTGTACACACTGGCTATCCAACCTTTGCTGTATAAACTAAGCTCTGAGATAAAGGGTGTGTGTGTTCTTCATTGTAATGTTTCTTTGCATCTTTCTGCTCATGCTGATGATGTTGTTGTTTCATATCGAATGCGGAAGATATTCAGAAACTGGATTTTATTGTAAGTGATTTTCAGAAGATATCCTCTGCTAAAGTCAACTGGGGAAAGAGTGAAGCCCTGCTTGTGGGTAGCTTAAGCGGTGTCCCTCCCAAGTTACCTGGAGGTTTGACATGGAAGAAAGGTGGCTTGAAATACCTCGGGTGAAGATGACTGTGTTCAGAAGAACTGGAATGGTACGCTTGAGAAAATCCAAAGACTTCTACAAAAATGAAAATGTTTTTTTTCCCCAGTTATCGTATAGAGGCCGCACACTTATAGTTAACAACTTGGTGGATCCTCTATATTGCACAAGCTGGCGTGTGGAGACCCCCCTATTGGTTTACTACCTAATCTTCAAAGAGAGATGGTCAATTTTTTTCTGGGACAACCTACATTGGATCCCTCAAAGTGTTATCTTCTTACCAAGAGATGAAGGAGGTCAAGGCTTGGTTGATCTTGTGAGTAGAGAAGGAGCGTATAGACTGCAGTTCATCCAGAGACTATTGTTTGGGCCCAAGAGTCTTGAAGAGCCGGTGGTTTTGGGGGCCGCTTAGATGTGTCAGGAGATGACACTCCAGGATTGATGGACATATTAGTATTACAAAAAAATGCTACAATTGAGAGACATTTTTGACAAAGCAGGCACTGGACTGAGTGAATCTTGCTAAATGTATGGGAATAGGATCAGTAAGGTTTGCACAGAAACTCTTAGATAAACTGAGTGTGATGTTGAATGAAAAACACTGCTGGAGAGTTCTAGTCGGGATCTTTTTATCCCAGATGACGAGGAGTTTTCCCTGATATCAGAATTGAAGCTGTTGTTGGAAATGTTGGGGATAATAGTCCATCGCTGTGTTTTAATGAAAGTGCTGATGTTAGTTCAGCCGAAGGTGAAATATTTGACAGAGATATTGTGGAAATAAATAACAAGCACATTTTAAAAGACAGCACTGACACCTGTAGAGGATTCTGGGTAAATCTCTCGTCAGTCTTCAGCTCAGTTTCACTGATGATCCAGGATAAATCCTAAACCCAGGGCAGAGCAGCTCAGTGAATGTGGTCTGGACTGAGTGGATGAGGCTCATTGTGTCTCTATAGATGTTGTAGAAGATCAGAGTTCCTGCACTGTGATCCACAAACACTCCTATTCTCCTGCTGAGCGCCTTCACTGGGAGATCAGTGCGTGTGTTATTGTGTCTGAATGAGGAACTGGAGGAAGAGCAGCTCAAACTCCAGGACTGAGCATTAGATCCAAACCAACACTCAACACCTGTTCCCTTCCTCCTGATGCTCTTATATGACACTGATATAGACACACCATCATCTCCACTCCAGTCAATCTCCCAGTAACAGCGTCCACACACACTCTCTCTGCACAACACCTGATAAACACCATCAAATCTGTCTGGATGATCAGGATACGGCTGATTCTCTCTCACATGCTTCACCTCTCTGTTCTCCTCAGACAGAATGAGTTGAGTGTTTGCTGTGTTTGGATCCAGAGTGAGGAAACAGACATCTGAACACAAGAACACACACATTTATAACCACAGCTATGTGCGTGTGCCTGTGTGTGCGCGCATGTGTGTGAGAGAGAGAAAGAGAGAGAGTGTGTGTGTGTGTGTGTTTGTTAGATTGTATGTGCGCATGCGATTGTATGTGTTCACTGCTGTTTGCGCATGTGTCTGTGTGTGAGAGTGTGTGTGTGTGAGAGAGAAAAAGAGTATGTGTGTGAGACAGACTGTTTGTGTGTGTGTTCATATTTGTTTGCGTGTGTGTCTGTGTGTGTGTGAAAGAGTGTGTGAGAAAGAATATGTGTGTGCGAGTGTGTCTGTGTGTGTTTTTGTGTGAGAGAGAATGTGTATGTGAGTGCGTGTGTCTGTGTGAGAGAGAGTGTGTGTATGTGTGTGTGCGTATGTGAGTGAATGTGTGCATGTGTGTGTGAGAGAGTATGTGCGTACGTGTGTGTGTGTGTGTGTGTGTGTGTGTGAGAGAGAGAGTGTGTGTGTGAGAGTGTGTTTGTGTGTTAGATTGTATGTGGGCATGCGTGTGTTCACTGCTGTTTGCGCATGTGTCTGTGTGTGAGAGTTTGTGTGTGTGTGTGAGTGTGTGAGTGTGTGTGTGTGTGTGTGTGAGTGTGTGTGTAGTCCTACATTTGCGTGGTCCTGCTGTAATCCTCGTGTGTCCTCCATGATCCAGACTGTAAACACACACAGATGGAGAGAATGAGCTGTTTAGTTTCCCCCTCAGCTAATAAGCTAAAGCTAGCACTGAGCTGCTCAGCTACACGCTCCAAACTCTTGAGCTAAAACACACAACACTTGTTGGTTGAGCCGGGATGCACAATGAATGTAACACAGTGCGTTCTTTTCCTCTGCTGTTGGTGAAGCGAGCGCAGATACTGCTCATGTTGATGGAGACACCCTGCTGCAACATTCATTTATTAGTGATCACACTTAGCTTTGCCATCGTTCTTCAGCACATGCAGCCTTTGAGCACATGTTGCAGTCCATCTCTAAACTATGTTCAGATTATTAAAGCTGCTCGCCAGCGCCCAAGTTCCTGAAAGATTAGCAAGTGAAAAATACACATGTGTGCACAGAGAAGAGGAATCCAGATGTTGATTTTAGAACAAGAGTCTGAACATTAATCCAAGTGTCTGATTCCAGAATCTGAATCCATCTTCAATCCCCAACCCTATTCCTGACCTGATATTGTAGGATTCTTCAGCAGAAATGGAGGAAGAAGTTTCTCTGCTCAGCTCAAATGCTGAAACTGTACAGTGTGTCCCGCTTAATGTCACTGTAACTGAGCCAATACACTCCAACATTTACAGAGGAGATTCATTTCACACTCAATGATTTGCTCTTCATAAACACGACTGGAATACTCTACAAGCTGTATCTTCTGTCTTACCTCACCCCATAAAGCCTGATTTATACTTCTGCGTCAAACACCGGCGTATGCTACGGCGCTGACGCATAGCCCTTCGCCGTGGCCATCGCCGTCACTGACGTGCACCTCTCAAAAAATGTAACTACACGTCGCAACGACGCGTAGCATAAGCTCTGTGATTGGTCGGCTTGGTAGCGCTGACGAGTCTGGGCGGGACCGAGAGGCGCGCGAATGGCGCGACGCCGCGCGAGCGATTGTTTACAAGTGTGGAGTCCCGTGAAGGAGCTCCGGATGGAAAGTTTTGTTTTGTGTTTACCTCATAGTTAAAGTTGTTGCACGTCCGCCGGTCCTGCCTCAAAATGAGCGAGTTTGAGCCACTTGTACATCCCGGAAGTGTTCAGGAAATGCAAAAAAGTAGCGAAGAAACTTGACACAGAGGAACATTTACACCTCACTGCCAACTAGCGTTTCGGAAGTGTTAATGCAGACCGGCAGAGACAGCGCGCAGAAGTATAAATGCACAGCCACGCGCGTTGCCTGCGCCGTGGGTTACGCCGGTCACCTGACGCAGAAGTATAAATCAGGCTTAACCCTCACAGAAAACTGAAGCTGATCACAAAAGAGCTTTCTAGTGTCTTTTTAAAGCCATTCAGTGTAAAAGCACAAGGCCAGTGATGCTCCACATACTTGAGTTTGTCCAGTGTGTAGTTTGGATCCTCCAGTTGTTCAGAGAGCAGCTTGACTCCTGAATCTCCTGGATGATTGTAGCTAAGATCCAGCTCTCTCAGGTGTGAGGGGTTTGAAGTCAGAGCTGAAGACAGAAAACCACAGCCTTCCTCTGTCACCATACAGCCAGACAATCTACAAACACAGCAATAGTCCACATCACACAGTTGGACAATCACACATCTCTTTGTGTTGTGAAGATGCTGACTGCTGTTTCTGCTCATGTCAACAGCAGTGATGAACACACACATCCTGATCAGCTCTCCTTATTGATCAAGCCCTTGCATCAGCAAACACACTCACACACTCAACAAGGACTCGACATCATCTGTAGAAGTGTACAGAGCAAAGACTTTGTTCATAATACACCACATCAAGCTGTAAAGTCTGCTGTGAGGAGGAAGAAGACACACTTGAGCTCAGAAGATCATCTTAAAGTCATGTATAAAACACAACAGAAAATGAGCTGATTTCATCATTTATATTGTGATTCTGTTGTGGACTAAAACAAAATGAGCTCAGACAAACACAAACCCGCTCTCTTAATGTGTTTATCACCTGACCCACAGTCACTTTTATTCTGTCAGGAGAGAAACACCTGATCAATATTCACGACTGCTGACTCCCCTTCACATTCAGCCTTTACCAGATATTGTTTTAGATGAGCGAGTAATCAGGATTATTTCAGACACTTTATCATGAGACTTTTATTTGTTTTCAAGAAACTGAAACTGCACAAATATGAGAGCAGCTCAAACCTTCAGCAGGACACAAAACAGCTTCACTTTAGCGTTTAACTCTGCTGCTTTCACACCTCGAGATCCACTGTTCTGTTCTGAAACAGGATTAACACTGGTATAATGTTTATTTGTGTTCTTGCTGTGGTTCACTTTCACAAGGAAAGTGATTTTAAATGTTGACACCCACAGACAGAGTCACAAATACAGCGAACTCAGGCACCGTTTGCACTAGTGCATTTTAGTTTGAAAACGGCGTTTTAGGTCAAAAACGATCCGCGTCCACCCTAGCGTTTCTGAACATATCTCCGTTCACACTACGCCACCAAAACCGTACATCACATGACCATTCGTGTACTCTGGGCATGCGCATTCTAGTATAAACAGGAAGCATGTGTCTCGCTCGGCATTTGGTTATTGGTAGTCAACAAACGCCGGTTGAACAATAAACGCGAAGCCAAAAAGCAAGAGAGGTGTTTTTGTGGACAGACGACGAGGTCGAGTTGTTACTAAACGTAACAAATGAATAACTGCACAATGCCGCCTAAAACAGACAATAGTGCAAACAACGCTCCCATTTCTGTTTCCATGTTGTTGTTTACATTGAAAGGCTGGTCTGTTGTCTTCCGGTAGCGTTAAAGCCATGTGTTCTAGTCATGTAATAGGGGCTTGATGAATAAGGGAAGGATGAACAATGACACAAAAGCCCCAATCAGGTAGCAAATCTCAGCAGCCACACCTCCGTTTTCAAATGTGTCCGTTTTCCCCCATCCACACTGAGACGGAACAGCAGCATTTTAGAATGAAAATGGCCTCTCCAGCGTTTTTAAAACGCTCCGTTTTCAGCGCTCAAAAACTCCGGCATAGTGTGTAACCTTAGCAAAACTTATGCGTTTTAAAACGAAAACGCATTAGTGTAAACAGGGCCTAAGACTGCAACTATTTTTAAAATATATATTAAAAGGTCTTCAAATATGATTATGATTTAAATCTGATTTATTCTTGTTTTTAAAGCGTTTGTCATTACGGTACTTCAGTGTCTCCGACTCGTTTAGAAAATTTTAATTAAATGCTGGATTAATGCACAAGAGATTTTGGCGAACACGTTTTACACCATTTTAAAAATATATTTTATGTGCGGCTGTATAAGTCACATACAGTATAATGGAGGACAGCCCATTCTGAAAACCAAGACTTTCCTCCATTTCTCAGTCAATATAGGCAGTGTATTCTGCTGCATTTAAACAGAACACATTTATTAAACAGATTTATTTGTGACAATCCTATTTTATTCACCAAACACATTCAGAAATTAAAAGATAATACAATTAAATTCGGACAAAATATTGCAAACAAACCCTAAAAAATTTCAGCTAAATTCTTCCATTGTTTTGCTTTTCTTGATTTTTCCTCTTTTTTTAATTTTGTATTTAATATTTTTCTATAACATATACATTTGAGTGTACTAGTTTTTGGACTGTTATCATAAGTTATTTTGTTAGATGAGCTCCAGATTTGGCTAATCTTTTGTTTATCCACAAATATAATATTAAAGAGCTTCCTATTAAAATATGAATGTAAAAGAGAGATTAGTGAGGGGTGTACTTATATATGCTGAGCACTGTATATTGTTCACCCAGAGTGTTTACATGGTCACACAGCAGTAATACAACAAGCATTGAGTTTGGGCTAGCTTCTGCAGATGGACATTGCTGTACACTGCCCTTGATGGGTGAGTGGGGGAGTGTCTGTTGTCTCTCAGGTGTGAATTATTCATGAGCATTGTCACTCACACATACAGCTGACATCACCCAAAACAAACTTAAAAAAACGTAGATCATTGTAATGTTTTCTCTGAATAAGAGAACAGAATAATTTTCACATAATTGTGCAGTAAATATTCTAGTCTACAAGACTGCTTACTCTAAAGTCTTGTTCAGGCACATTCAGTGTTTTTTTTGCAGGGCTGGATTAACCAATGGGCCTTATAGGCACAGGCCCAGGGGCCCATGCGCACTAGGGGCCCCTGCAAGAGGAGAGAAAAAAAGACAATTTCGGAGTGTCTTTTTTGGCTAATTGCAAATAGCGCATGTAGTTGGAATAAGCTATTCAGGGTTTACGCCCATCGATGCCTGATTGATAGAGACAAGATGAGTAAAGAGTTGCTGAACAGTACAGCCACAGTGGCGCACCTTGTAAGGCGCACAGTTCCATTTTTTGACGCGATTAATTATAAACTCGATTCGAATCCACCATCAGATGAACTCGTGCTACTTTTTTTTCTCCCCATTACATATCAGATTGGAAATATATTTATTTTTAACAGGAAGGAAGCATTTTTTTTAAATAACGCAAATGTGATATAAAGTCACAAGTGTCTTGTGGGTATTTAATAATGTTTAGCCTTATAGGTGCCTCCTTCTCTGCAAAAACTATATTGCTCAGATAACTGTATTTCCTCTGAGCAAAAAAATCGCGATCACATATTAATATTATTATTATATTTAAACTGCTTTTTTTCTTTAACTAAACAGAATACTGTAATTGGTCAAGCGCGGAAACGTCAGTTTTGTAACAACCCGCACTAAACTGAGCGGACTGTAGTGTAACGTTAGTATTGGTCATAGATCAAAAATGAGTGGACAAGTGGATTTAGCAAACGCGAGAGAAAGAGGAGGCATCTTTATTGAGGCATTTTCCATACACACCATCTTTAAACAGCCCCTTGATCAGGAGAATGAGGGTACAGAAGAAGACGTTATGGTAACTTTAAATGATGAGTAGCTAGCATAAACCAGGCGGAGGAGGCTAATGGCAGCGCAGCGCGGACTGGATTCATCGTGTGAGATAAAGACAGAAAAGGAGAGAGAGAGGGAGAGAGAGAGAGAAAGGCCCAGAATATATATATTTATAGTTTTATTAGTATTTTTATTCAATGCTTTGAAAAATAAGTTAAATCTTTGTAGACTATAAATACATATGTACTATATATCATTTATTTAAATATGTGGGCAACAAATTATAGATTCATTTTATTTAAAAATTATTATATTATTCTTATTTTTTAAATTCAACTATAGGGGTGCGGCCAGTTAGGGTGCCTTACAAGACAATGTGCCCAGGGGCCCCTGAGTTCCTAATCCGGGCCTGGGTTTTTGGGTCTTATTTCAGCTACATTTGTTTCTCCAAAACCTACTAACCACACATAATATTTATTTCTAAAACACAAGCATGTACATCAATATCTCTCACATATTATTGTAGCTCAGTTTGTGTTGAATACAAATAAAACACATGTTGGCCAGTTCTGTGTAATAAGTAGCTGAAATCAGCACAGATGTCAGGGCATGTCAAAACATCTCAGGGGTCCCAAAATCACCTCAAACCCCTGAGGGTTAACTACAGGTATAGTATGGGCAGTGTGAAACATAATCACTGATAAACCAGAATTCCTGTTATCTGGGGTTTAGTAACACCCAGGGTTAACATGTTCAAGCATAAAGAGCTCTAATATGAAGCTGTCTGACTGTAGTTATTGTAGAGTGGAGAATCATTTACCTCAGTGTGTCCAGTTTACAGTCCACAGTCTTCAGTCCATCAGAGAGAAGCTTCACTCCTGAATCCTGCAGGTCATTGTTACTCAGGTCCAGCTCTCTCAGCACACAGTTTGAGGATTGTAGAGCTAAAGACAAACTCTCACAGCACTGAACAGTGAGATTACACATGGCCAATCTGAGAAAGAAGAACACATTACTAAAACCACACTGTTAATGTGATCTGTCTTATATAACAAAACAAAAAAAAATCAATCAATCAATCAATCAATCAATCAATAAGGTGTTTAAACTCAGACCTCAGTGTCTCCAGTTTACAGTGTTGAATCTTCATTCCATCAGAGAGCTTCTTCACTCCTGAATCCTGCAGGTCATTGTTACTCAGGTCCAGCTCTCTCAGCACACAGTTTGAGGATTGCAGAGCTGAAGACAAACTCTTACAGGACCGAACAGTAAGTTTACACCACTGTAGCCTGTGTAGAGGACAAACACAATATTTACTACAGGTATAATATGAGCAGTGTGAAACATAATTACTGATAAACCAGAATTCCTGTTATCTGGGGTTTAGTATCACCCAGGGTTAACATGTTCAAGCATGAAGAGCTCTAATATGATACTGTCTTACTGTAGTTATTGTAGAGTGGAGAATCATTTACCTCAGTGTCTCCAGTTTACAGTGTTGACTCTTCAGTCCATCAGAGAGAAGCTTCACTCCTGAATCCGGCAGGTCATTGTTACTCAGGTCCAGCTCTCTCAGGACACAGTTTGAGGATTGTAGAGCTGAAGACAAACTCTCACAAGAATCGGCAGTGAGTTTACATGTCATCAGTCTGAGAAAGAGCACAAATGACTAAAAACACACTGTTAATGTGATCTGTCTGATGTAACAAAACAAAAAAAATCAATCGATCGATCAATCAATCAATCAATCAATCAATCAATCAATCAATCAATCAATCAATTAATCAATCAATCAATCAATCAGGTGTTTGAACTCAGACCTTAGTGTCTCCAGTTTACAGTGTTGACTCTTCAGTCCATCAGAGAGAAGCTTAACTGCTGAATCCTGCAGGTCATTGTTACTCAGGTCCAGCTCTCTCAGCACACAGTTTGAGGATTGTAGAGCTGAAGACAAACTCTCACAGCACTGAACAGTGAGTTCACAGCGCTGTAGTCTGTGTAGAGGACAAAGAGCAACACAATCAGCAGTAAGAAATGAGCAGTGTTGAGTGTTCATGAGTCCAGTCTACAGTGATAAAAGTAACACTGGAAATAAACTATATACATATACTGCTCAAACAATAAAGGGAACACTAAAATAAAACATCCTAGATCTGAATGAATGAAATATTCTTATTAAATACTTTGTTCTTTACACAGTTAAATGTGCTGACAACAAAATCACACAGACATGATCACTGGAAATCAAATGTATTAACCCATGGAGGACTGGATTTGGAGTCAGACTCAAAACTGTAGTGAACTGCAAGAATTGCTGACACACTCCAGACACATGGGCATTTTCAGAACAAGAATATTATTTCATTTAAATCTGCTCTTTTTATTGATTGATTTATTTAAACTACATTAAACTAAACTAAACCTGTATTTCCCCATTCACGTGACTGTAATGAATTATTGAACAGATTATTAATAACTAATCAGAGAGCATTTTACTGAGCTTAGTGTAAAGTTGAGTGTGTAGGCCTACAGTAAATGTAATATTACAGGCATGTCTGCAGCGAGACAGCAATACTGTGTCTAAAATTACACTATTTCTCTGATCAAAAAACAAACACAATTATCCAAGAGCAACACTGTGTTAGATTTGAGCAAATACACATCAACAAATGTCCCATTCAGCTGGAGGAGCACAGGGATTTACAGGGATTTGAGTTATTTTCCAGGATAAACTGTAAAGCAAATGAAGTAGATTATTAAATAAGTACAAATGTTGTTTGTGTGAGTAAAAAGTCAAAAAAAGTTTGTTAAATACGTTTAGAAATGCTGAAATAAATGAGCAAATAAGGAAACAGAACACTGCCGCCGCGTCCCCATGCAGTAATATGGTGTATCAGCGATCTCACAGGGGGACGATATGGCCAGCTAAAGATTCTCTGTTAAAGCAGGGCAGTGATTCACTAAACTGATCTGAGTCTTCAGTGCAGACTGATGTGTGTCTTCTGTGATCAATCAATGAATACTCACAGAGCTCTTCTGCAGTTTCTCACAGCTGCTATCAGTCTCCGTCTTCCCACATCTGATGTGTTGAATTTATTAGAGTCTAACTCATCCAGCGGCTCCTCTGACATCTCAATCATGTAGGAGATTGTTGAGCAGTGAGCAGGAGTGAGTTCCTCCTCTGAGTGTTTGTCTGATTTCACAAACTCCTGAATCTCTCTGGCCAGAGTCTGATCTTTCACCTCCAGCAGACAGAGGAACAGATTGATGGATCTTTCAGCTGAGAGATGTTTACCTCTCTTGATCTCGTCTTTAATGTACTGTGTGATTCTCCTGATGTTCTCTGAGCTCTCCTCCGTGTGTGTCAGCAGATTCTGGAAGAGTCTCTGATTGGAATCCAGTGAGACGCCCAGCAGAAACCGCAAGAACAGATCCAGATGACCATTACTACTCCAGACAGCTTTAACTACTGCTGAACTGAGCAGATCATACAGAGACTTCTCAGAGCTGGACTGTAGATATTGATTATATGAATATTCACTGTCATAAATCACCCTCAGCGGTTCTCTGTTCTCTGTTAAATGGCAGTAAAACACAAAGAAAGCAGCCAGAAACTCCTGAAAGCTGAGATGGATGAAGCTGTAGACTTTCCTCTGATAAATCACAGATTCCTCCTTGAAGATCTCAGTGCAGATCCCAGAATACACTGAGGCGTTAGTGACGTCTATGCTGCTCTCAATCAGGTCCTCCTCATAGAACATCACATTGCCCTTCATCAGCTGTCTGAAAGCCACTTCAGCAAGTTTGAGGATCACTCCTCTGTTGGACTGCAGGAGTTTCTCAGGATCTCTCTCTTCATACTTCTGCTTCCTCATGTTGATCTGAATCAGCAGGAAGTGGATGTACATCTCAGTCAGAGTTTGAGGGATTTCTGCACTCACATCTTCTTCCAGGAGCTTCTGAAGCACAGTGGAGGAGATCCAGCAGAAGACGGGTATGTGGCACATGATCTGGAGGCTTCTTGCTCTTCTGATGTGGGATATGATTCTGCTGGCTTGATGCTCGTCGCTGATTCTCTTCCTGAAATATTCCTCCTTCTGAGGCTCAGTGAATCCCTGAATTTCTGTCAGACGCTTGATGTATCTGGAGGGGATCTGATGGGCTGCTGCTGGTCTGGAGGTGATCCAGATGAGAGCAGAGGGAAGCAGATCTCCTTTCAGGAGGCTCCACATCAACACAGCCACTGATGAAGATTCAGTCACAGCACAAACTTTCTCCTCATCTGAAAAGTTGAGTGTGATTCTGCTTTCATCCAGACCATCAAAGATGAACACAACTCTACACTGCTCATAAATCTTGGGCTCCAGATCTTCAAGTTCAGGATGAAAGTCCAGCAGAAGTCTGTGAAGACTGTACTGATGATCTCTGATCAAGTTCAGCTCTCGAAATGGAAGCACAAACATGAAATCTACATCCTGATGGTCTTTTCCCTCGGCCCAGTCCAGAATGAACTTCTGCACAGAGACGGTTTTCCCGATTCCAGCGATGCCTTTAGTGAGAACAGTCTTGATCTGGGCTTTCTCCTTCTTGATCTTCTCCTCATGTCCTGCTCCAGCTGAGGCTTTAAAGATGTCATTGCAGTAGACTGGAGTGTGTTGTGAGGGTTTTGTTCTGGCTCTTTTCTCCATCTGCAAAACCTCATGTTCTTCATTCACTCCTTCACTCTCTCCTTCTATGATGTAGAGCTGTGTGTAGATCCTGTTCAGGAGGGTTTGAGTCTCTCCATGGTTGATTCCCTCAAATAATCTCTCATACTTGTTCTTCATGCTGGTTTTGTGCTGCTCTTTGACTCTCTGAAGTTCATCATGTTCTGGTTGGAGTGAATCCTGCTGCAGGTCTCCAGTCTGATCATCTCTATCCACACTGCAGGAACAACAACAACACAAAGATTCAATGAGTGCACCCCATCGTTATGCCTCATGGCTCAAAAAAGATGTAAAAAAAAAAAAAGGGGTGGGGGGGACATCCAAGAAAGCCAACTTTATAGAACACAATTGATTAAAGAGACTCTTTGTAACATATTAAGTATAATAAAAAATGTCCTGATGAATACTGAAATACAGTTCATGTGTGGGCAATAATGTACAACACTAAATACCTTTGGGCAGATGATGGTGTTTTCTCACTGAGTTCTGGTGGCTTATGCATCGACCAGTCACTCTTCAGAGACACAGAGCTGGACACACATGATCCTGATCTCACACTGAACACACCAGAGGAAAAGTAGCATCACAACCTCAAGGTGTTTTTTAATGTGTAAGATAAATAATGAGTAAAATTTCAGATCAATATAGCTATCAGATCATTTATTATACTCTTCTGAAAATGTAAATCCCAGTCCAACACTCCCACGTGTGTGCCTCTGCATTCAAAGTTTTTGATTGAAGTCAACATTTATATTAAATATATTTATGTGGAGTTTACTCACAGCTCTGTGCATTCTCCTGTCACGTTTTTTTTTTCTTCTCTTTTTACATTTTTTGCTAATTCTACAGCAGAATTTATGCAGAATGATTTTGGAAAGTATCGTAATATTGTAACTAAATCATAATCATATTGTAACTAAAAACTTAATATATGAAATCAAAATAAAAACTTTTAAAGTCTTATTTAGGTTTACAATGCTAATCCATTTAGATCCACATAAATATAAAATATGACTGTACAAACTATTGTAAATAAATCACATGAACATTTTTTATATTAGTCAATAACATTACTAAAATTAATTTATAAACTGAATATCATAAATTTACTCACATTTACGCTAGTAAATAAATAAGACTCAGTGGTGGGCTAAAAACCTGCATATTTCTGTACACAGTACTATTAACAAAAACATATGATACGTTTTTTTATACCAAGTTTTTACGTAAATATAAATAAATCACAAGGCGCAAGAGGTGAACAGTGTGATTAGTTGCTTTTTTTCAGATCAGTGCAAATGTAATTTTCATGTTTTGTGTTAAAATAGCACATCCGTTTGCACCACTTTGTGGACTCATAGGTGTTACGGTCTATAAAGGAGGTGTGTTAAGGCTATTGTGAAGAACTGAAATAGACCGCACCATTGAGCACAGATCAAGCTGTCTGTAATCTAGAATGATCTAAACACATTTGCTGAAGCTGTAAAATGAAGCTTTGTCCATCATTTGATCAGGCAATAGCAACACAAATAAGTGCATTGTTGTTGGTCTTTGTTCTTCAGTGAAAGTGTTGAAATAATGGTGTGTAAACAGAGTCAATACCTGTGTTTCTCTGAGAGAGAGTTCTTTACTCGCTCCTCTGCCATACTGCAGCTAAAACACCAACGCAGACATTAGCAGAGCTTTGAGGAAACAATCATACACACACACACAGGTTTAACCCTGATCTGACATCCCAGTTGTTTCACATTTGATTTAAGGTAAATACATGTTATATAGAGTTTATCAAGAGAACTTCAGGTTCAGCCAATTGTTGATTTAGTGAGAGGCTCTTTGAGGATCTCTACGTAAGAGGCTATTTGGTTAATGAGTTACTCTGACGGTCAAAGGTTAAATGCAGTGTTGTTTAAGGATCGTCAGCTTGTTGTTTTCAGCAGCTTTTCTTCCTGTTCAACTGAAGGTCGTGACTCTGAATGTTTAGAGTTATATTTAATGCTGAATTATTGGAAACTATTGAGTCAGTCTGATATAGAAGAGAACAAACACTGTAAAGGGATTAAAAATAAAGCTTTTAGACACATGTTTAAATGAGCGTGTTTGACTCAGTGTTTAATCTGTGTTTGAGGATTTGATCTTCAGGTTCAGACATTTAAATCACACTCACA